GACTTCTTCTCGGCTTCCGTCTGCAGGTGAGAATAACGATGGATATCATCGGCAGCAATCGCATATGTGGCCATTGCTCTATGAAACTGACGGTGCATGATGCAACATTTGACTCCATTAATGCCGAACCTCTTAGCCCTTTTGAAGAGTTCGTCATATTCAAGACTGTCATGCTGATGTTCTTGGTTGGCTTCTGCGTTCGATGCAGTGCTTTGTTGGCCGGTAAACTTGTCGTCTCGGGGTTCCGGTACATAGGAGCCTACAAATAGATTGCCATGCATCATTATGCGATCAATGAACCATGTCTGGTAGTACTCTCCGGTTCGGGTTCTATCCAGCGCAATCGTGCGAAACGCGTTGCGCTGTACAGCAGGATGCTCAAAGAGTCCGTTGCTGACCTCGTCAGGCAAAGGCGGAAAGTCATCGTGAACTGCGTCCACCCGAACAGATTGCCATATGCTATTGGCAACTCCTTGGGCCCTTGGGTCGATTGTGGCTTTGTCGTGCAGGAAACGAAGAATATCGAAGAAGATTTCTCCGAAAAGTACCTGGCGAGACGGGCTGAATTCCAGCCTGTTGGCAAGAAGGCACAGAGATATTTCGGCTGTGCCTGCGTAGTGCTCAATACCGCTCCAGAATGGGGAATCGTTGCCAAGGACTCCTTTTTCAGCCAATTCTCGCTTGATACGCGCCGTCGCATTTGGTAAATGCATCCGCTCAGCTATTGTATCTTGTCGCAGTTTGTATGCACGCAGTTCTTCATCCGGCATGCGCACACACTTAGTCTTGATGCAAGATAGGTTGAGCCAGTCTTGAAGCCACCGAACCTTTATCGGAGTCAGGTCAATCGGTTCGAATCCGACATCCCAGATGTACGCGGATACACCAAGAATACCGGGCCTTCGTTCGCGTAGTATGGTTCTTGGAAGGTCGAATCCACGGATAGTCACCTGGTCCAGGAACTCAAAGTCAACATCGAACGGGTGCGCCCAGCCTGGTCGGACGCTTTGTAGAAGGCACAATCCTGGATCCTCGCTGGCGTCTTTCGCTATGGTATCCGAGTATGCCTCCGGAACCAAAAGGGAGAAATCGTTGTTCATGAGTGACAGGGTTAGAAGCGCTGCACGAAGCGAGAGGCAGTCTCTAGCAACGGCTTCTGGGTCCAGGCGGTGTTCATAGCCACACATATTCGCCATGATAGCTAGGCGGTCCTGGTTGTGGTAACATTCTCGTGTCTTCAGCAATGTCAGGGCACCGGCTGCGTCAACAGTGGGTCGGATGCCAAACGAAATGGCGCTTCGCGCGCCGAAATTGAAGCTCTTCTTCGGTTTCCAAAATGGAGGGTGCAGATCTTCAGCCTCGGCGACAATTCCCATGGCTACATATAAACTTGCTTTGCGGTGCAAATTCAATTCATCTCCCTCAAGTGAATGTTGTTGTAGGAATGTCTTTGCAGCCCGAACGATGTCGCGAAACTCGTGTACCATGATGCAAACAACTTCGGATGGGAGACCGCGTCTTTGGTTCTCGCTCTCAAGTGAATGAGTCGGCAGACCACTCTTTTTGTTGGGAATTCGAGGCTTCGTTCGTTCAGGTAGTCCACTACCACGTCTGAACACAAGACTGAGGTTGTCACCAGCGCTGATAGCTTCTTGGACCACCCACGCACGGGTATACCATCGATCGCTCTTGACTTTTTGAAGAAATGATATGACTATCTCCAGGTCTTGATCATTCGTAATTAAGCGACTGGTACCTGAATTTCTGGTCTTCGAAATCAACCCCCGGATCTTTTCCAGCTGTTGCCAGTTTGACATGGCGACGTCAAGCAGACCCCCGGTAACAAAAGCTCTATTGTAGATGATATCCATCGCTTGAATTCCAAATTGTTTATCTTCCTTAGAGGGTGACTCGGTATCTTGTGGGGGCTGAGGAAGGCATTCTTGATCGATCCAGATCATACGTAGACCAAAGCTGTTGGCGACGTCAACAGCACGGTCAAGAATATCGTCCAGGGCTCTGTTTTCTCGGACGACACCATCTAGGTCGCGGACTTTGTATGTTCTGGGAATGTCGATTATGTTCCCGTTGTTGTCCTTTTGTTGAGGAGGCCAGCAATACGAAATGGCCAGATAGTGCGCGCAGATGTTGTTTGCCGAAGGTATGCCGTCCTCAAAAAGCTCTGGGAACTCATCTCTCGGTCTGTAGAGACGGAAATGGCGTGTCTTTCTGTCGTGTGGAAATTCGGGGCAGTGAGCGCAGATGATGCATTCAAAATCGTCCGGAGGGGGCTCATCCACGTTCGTCGACGAGCGGGCATATCTGGGTTCCACGTTCCCGCAAAACTGCAGACGTGCCCCTGACGGCGAATCCTCGAATTCACAGTCGTCATTTTCAATCGCCTTTCCCTTCCTTCTCTTCTCATCCCGAACAGCTCTTTCTTCGCAGACCTCTGTGGGCTGTTTCAAAATCTTCTCACGCACTTTGTCCAGTTGCTCGATCGTGGAAGGCGCTGCCTGGTCTCTTTTCCCGTCGACCAACTCCCCTTCTTCGTCAACTACGAGAAACTTGCAATCTTTGACAGCCCAGAGCTCAGCCTCGCGACGTTCGATTCGATATTGGGTGAGAGTGGCCAGCCCCGCCATCATCAGACGGTCGTGAGCCGCGAAAGGCGCTCTGGAGTCAAGATCGTTCTCCATTGTAATCCTCGTTGGAATGAGACGAGTGAGACGGCGTGGATTGGCAGTTGTGTAGGTCAGATTTTACCAAGTAAGACCAGAGAATCATATCTGTCTGCTTATGCCCTTAACACCTATGCCAAACCTGCTTCGCATGCGGACCAACCCCCCGCATGTTGGATCAGGTCGTCGGGAAGTACCCTTCAATATACGGTTCAATATACGCGGTAGTTCCCGATGTGTGTGGCCAATGAAATCTCATAGATGGGTGCGTAGCAGGCCACCTGGCCAGGCATCTGTTTGCCTCGAGGATCAGCAACATTCACCCACGAGTAGAACAACGCCACGCAAGAACATGCGCCGCAACTATGCAGAGGTGAAGCTCTCTATTATTTCGCAGGGGACGAGGCTTGGCTATGAAGAGGACGTTTGGACTCTGTTGCGCGGCTGCGCCTCGCCTGCCGCATGACCCAATGTGAGGCTGAGAAACCGGGTTTCGTCGCCAGGGTTCGACCCGCGGACAAGCACTAGATGACACCCAGTCTTCGAAGATTCTTTCTTCATATCGTCCACAATCTTTCCATTTTCTGATGTGTGGAGTAAAAATTCCTAACCCATAGAGAAAGAGGCAGGGATCGCGGGATCTCGTTCAAACTCATTCAACTCGAGTATTACCCGGCCATGTATAAAACGTGGGATGTGATGTTATTTCCATTCCACAGCTTTCGCACGCCTACAGATAAGAAGCAAAGTCTCTGCCGCCCAACGGAAATCTTCCAACGTGAGGTACACTTGGCCGCTGATCCGGCACCAAAAGCCACCGGCATAAAACTTAATGGGAATGTACGTCTTATACTCTGCCGGCATCAGCTCTTGCATCCATTTCGCTATCCCCCGTCCAGCCGACGTGTCGACGTTGAGGTCCGCCAAAGTCAAGGGGAGGCGAACATTGACGAAACAGCACTGCCGGAACGAAGCGAATGATGGGCCGAGGACCTCTGTGCCGAGGATCTCTGTCATCAAATCGCCTCCTTGACGGGCAATATGCTCACAGTATTCCCGAATATTCGTTTCGCCACCGCAGACTCGGGCCCTGAATTCGAGTGCTGCGGGTATGCAACAATATGGTGTGTTGTCTGTTGTAGAGATCTTGTCAAACAACTTTGAAAAGTAGTCTCGTGCATTCATCTTAATGCGATTCTCCTCGATTTCGTAGCCCCATGATATGGGCACTGTTGAAGAGAACATGGCTTGGTTCCGGAATGGTACGTAGAGGACGGCGCATCCCCTCGGGACCATCAACCATCTAGACCGGAGATAAACGTCAAGATTCCATTAAGTATACTACGAGAGGAGTTGACTCACTTGTAGCAGTTGCTGATGAAAAAGTCAGGTCTAACATCAACACCAACATGAGTCAAATCAATGTGGCCGACTCCATGGGCGCCGTCCACCAAGCTCAAGATCTCAAGATCCTTACAAATTTGCACTAATCTCTCAAATGGAAACCTAACCCCAGGGCTTGTGAGAACCGTATCAAACATCGCAAGCATCGGGGTCTTTCCCTTCATTCTGACTTCCTCCACCGCACATCGAAATCGCCGTATGATTTCGTCATCGTCGATGGGGTACGCAATCTCAATCGCGTGCGACGAGAGTGGCCGATCTTCCGAAAGTGACTGAATAGTCTTGTAACAGGCACCATATATCGTATTGAAGTAAACGATTACATCGCCAGCCTGAAACTTCAAGTTCCGGAGCACGGTGTTAACCCCCGTCGTGGCGTTCTGAACAAAAACGACTTCGCCGGGGTCCGCTCCGAGTAGTGGCGCAATTGCGATTTTGCTTTCGCAGAGGAGCTTGGGGTAGGTATATCGCATGAACGTGTCTGGCCTCGCCTCGCTCTCGTCCTGTAGTCGCCTTTGGTATTCCCGGACTTCTTTTGGGAAAGTCCCGAATGAGCCGTGATTGAGAGGATGATAATCCTCAGCAAAAGAGAAGCATTGCTTTCGAATGTCAGTTCCAAAGGCTATTGTAGGCGCCGATGATACCGTGTCACCATGAGAACCCATCTTGATAAGCAGTCAACTCGGATAAAGACAAAGTTACGAGGTTGAGCCTATGATCAGGGTTATGTTCAACTCAAGTTGGGGGTTTTTGAGGACGACGAGAGTTGGTTGGAACTGAGGACAAAGACGCTGTTCAGGAATCCTTGCAAGCATCACGTGTTTATCTGCATGTTGTAGCTGATAACGATGAGTGACTGTTTGCCTGTTGGCTCTGTCTTGAGTCCTTTGTGTGTCAAGATCAAGTCCTGAGGGTATGGCCCGTCTGCTGCTGCTCTCTAGTTTGGAGGCGCGAAGCCAATTTTTCTTTGAGTCTTCAGATTTCATTCATATGTCCTACCCGGCGGATGGTCTTGACAACTCTGATAAGCGAAAGAACATGTCTACCCCCTAAAAACAACTCATCAAGAAACGTCTCTCATTTCTCAACCCAATCCTAGTTCCTTGAAAGCCAAGGTGGCATATCTAATGACTTTTGTATAGCAAGCAACTGATACCTAGTAAACACGACTTCCACTCTCCTCAGCACTCCCCTCACGCAATAACCTCATCAAAGCTCTTCCCCACCAACTTGACAAACACATCCTTATACTTCTCCGCCGTAGCCTTGCACACATCCTCCGGCAGCGCAACACCCTCCTTCCCCTTAAGCCCCTGCTCAATCAACCAGTTGCGAATAAACTGCTTATCAAAGCTCTCCTGATCGCGACCGACGGCATACCCGGCAGCAGGCCAGTACCGACTGCTGTCGGGCGTGAGCACCTCGTCCACGAGCACGACCTCGTCCGTGTCCGGGTCGACGCCGAATTCGAACTTGGTGTCGGCGAGGATGATGCCGCGCTCGGCGGCGTAGTCGCGCGCTGCGGCGTAGAGCTGGAGGGCGAGCTCCTCGACGCGGTTGGCGTACTTGGCTCCGACGAGCTTGACGGCCTCGTCCGGGTGGATGTTCTCGTCGTGCTCGCCTTGTTCTGCCTTTGTGGAGGGGGTGTAGAGGGGCGTGGCGAAGGCTTGGGATTGTTGCATTCCGGCGGGGACGGGGATGCCGTGGACGGTGCCCTTTGACTTGTATTCATTCCAGGCGGAGCCGGTGAGGTAGCCGCGGACTTATTGAGGTTACAGTCAGTATTTACAATCACGAGAAGGTTAATTATGAGAAGCATGGGGCTGAGACATACCGATGGCCTCGAGGGGAATGACCTTGAGGCGGCGGACCTGCATGGCGCGGTTCTTGATGAGAGCGGCGTCGGCGGCGGGCAGGCCGGCCGGGGGGTCGAGGGTGATGAAGTGGGTCTTGAGGCCCGGGACTCGGTCGGTGAGAACCTTGAACCAGTGGGCCTATGTGCCGTTGAGCAGTCGTATTAGTAAAGATGACTTCTCACATGATCTAAGATTCGAGGATATAGAATGAGAAGGGGTTGTGAGGAGTAAAAGGATTTGAGTGAGTGAATGAGTGAGTGGAGTGGAATGAGAGAATGAGCCTTACAGAGGCGTGGGTGAGGATGGCGCCCTTGTCAGGGATGCCGTTCTTCATGACGACATCAAAAGCCGAGACGCGGTCGGAGGCGACGAAGAGGAGCGTCTTGTCGTCGACCTCGAAGACATCGCGAACCTTGCCCTGGCCGATCTTCTTGAGGCCGGTGAGATCGACGGATGTGACGCTAGCAGTCGCCATTGTGTGAGAGCCGTGTGAATGAGGTGAGTGAATGTGGGGTGGAGGGGTTGAAATTGTCGGCTTTGGAGGGGTTCAATGGAGGGGCAGTCGAGTTATTATAGCGCGATAAGGGACGGAGAGGTCAACCAAAGTCGGGAGATGTGAGCAACGTGAGTTAAGGCCTTGCAGACAGTAATCTGGCGCACCTTGGTGAATACAAGACGGAGGATGAGTCAGGTTTTCGAAGCCGAGTTCGGGATGAGGTTGGGAGACGTTCAAAAGGTTGACCGTCCGCTCGGCACGGGTGACGAAAAACCGGCGTGAAAAAAATTTCCCCTTCGGGTACAACCGCTCCACCGGTTCCCCTCCTCCATTGATGGGTTCGAACTTTAAACAGTGACATTCCGCAGTTTGAGACGACAGTCTGAATTGCGATTGACTGAATACATCAGGTCAGTCATTGGTTTAATTGAGATACTTCTCTCTCAAACAATCTGCAGACCGAATGAAGATGCAGTGAATGCCACATAGGCCACGCTTTGGAGGCATGCCGGACGCGAGGAAGAGCGTCTGTACCTTGACGTCAAATTACATTATCATTTCAAAGTATGAGTAAGTATATGCAAATGAGAATTAACCCGCCATCAGCGCCGCGCCAACGACAGCAAAGACAGACATGAGCACCATTACCAAGAAGCCGTCCGTTTCCGAGGCCACCAGCCCAGGATGTGACGCGGCATTCGGTGACTCGCTCGAAGACGGCGTCGAAGCGCCTGCCGACGCTACCGACGTATCCATCCCAGCAGCCGCCGTCCTCGTCATCGTCCCCGTCCCGGCCCTCGTCGACGTCGGCGCCGGCGTACTAGCTTGGCTCGCCACACCCGTGGCCGCCGGCAAGGCAGTCTCGCCCGCCCGGAGCTCAATCACATTGGTCCGGGTCGCGTTGAGATTCGACTGTGCGATGCCGACCTGGTGGTTCGCCTCGTCGTAGACGACGTATGCACTGCGCAGGAACGTGTCGCCCAGCAGCGCAAACTCTGTGCTGTTGACGTCGAACGTGGCGCTATTCTGGATACCAAACATGCAGGGCTTGTCGAACGGGGTGAGGCCCTTGAGCTGGTCCATGATCGGGTCAAGGTTATCCAAGACCATCTCCTCCATCGGGACGCGGATCTTGACGCCGGCGAAAGCAAAGTCGAAAAAGATGCCCTCGCCCTGGGGACCTCGCCACTTGCAGTCGATGAAGCCGTAACCCGCATCGACGACGTCGTATTTGACCCAGATGGACTTTGCCATTTGCTCAGGGAGGAGGCATACCGTTGACCCGGAGTCGAGGACGGTTGCTGCGTTGAAGTTGTCCCCGGCCATGTTGACCGTCTTGCCGTCTGGTGTTTCGATTTCGACGCCGGTCATGGATATGCTGTAGCTTGTCATGTTACCCGAGTGGTGGTCGTTGACGAGCGGGAGCGTGGTGAGCGAGCCGATGTATTTCTCCGTGTCAATGCCGCCGAACAGTAATGTTCCCTCAGACGACGAAAGATCATTCTACCCGTCACTGTCAGTGGACATGCTGGAGGATTGAAAGTTGTAGAGCGCCTCCCTTACCAGCCATATACTGAAGGCTTTTCTGCCTATGACACCTTGCGTAACCATGTTGTCGAGAATGGTAGGATACTTGCGCTTCGTCGCCACAGTCTGTGAGAACCCCAGACCAATCAACCCCGTGCCCTTGACCGTCTGAATCGCCAGACCAAGCTGCTGGTCCTTGACCGTCTTCCCATTGATGCTGACGACATCCGAGATGTAGTCTCCCTTGATGTTCTTGCCGTCAAGGTACGTGATATCAAACCCGTTCTGACCGACGACCTTGTACGTCGAGCTCGCTGTCGAGTTGTATGTCTCGGTACACCCCGTCTCGTACTGGCGCTGCAGCTTCGTGCTCGTGCAGAGGTCGGCCTGCTTGTCGACGATCCACGTGTCGCTGCTGCCCGTGTCGACGTGCAGCAGCGCCTTCTGTCCCGGGGTGCCGATCTCGACTTCTGAGTAGTACCCGCCGCCCGTGATGTTGTTGAGCGCCGCGAGGGTGAGGGTGTCGCGGCGGGTGATTTGAACCAGGTCTACGGGGAGCTGGATCTTGTGGAAGTTGGCTGAGATGACCTTTTGCGAGACGGCTTCCGACGCCAGGGCCGCGAGGGCCAAGGTCGTCGTGGATAGCTTCATCCCTGTGGACTGGGGAGGGGGGGCCCAAAGCTTCGACTCCCTCGAGAAACGGACGCCCGTGGTTGGAGATCGAGTCCCTTGTTGTTTACGTCTGCTCCACCCCCGCAGACTGCTTCTTATGCGGAGAAGCTTATCCTGGCAGACGTCTGGACGGGTATTCGAGAAACCGGGGACATGAGCCGGTAAGCAACACAAGGCTGTTGAGACTACAGGAAAAAGAAGAAAGCAGAGTATCGCCGGCCGGAGCTGTCAGATGCCAAACGGCGACGGGATCGCACGTCCTTTTCTGTCAATGGGACAACAGCGGGAGCTCTCCTCTAGTACAGCCGCAAAAATGGGGAAGAAAGGCAAGACTCTTTGGAGCCACGCCCAGCAGGGCTACCTATCTGGGGCCGTTGGAGCTAGCCTGACTGCATAATACCGGTAGGCAGACCTCGCGCCACCTTGAGAGCTCGTTGTTTTTACGAGATTTGGAGATTTGGGGTTTGATAGTCTGGTCGCGCCAGCCCCGAGATGGTTAGAGAGGCACAGCAGAACACCCCAGACGGGCAGAACGGGTTCCTCGGCTCTGTGCTTGGCGGCAAGGGAAATGGGGCCATGGAGGGCCATTGGGTGCGGAATATCATGATGGACACTTGGTGGAATGCCCTATCCGTACATTCAGGGGCTTTGTTATTTCTTGACGCATTCTTGGTGTGGGTTGCTTTGCTTAGTGTATGACGCGGGGAGCATGCCAAAATGAGTGTGTATGGCAAATGAGAAGATGGGAAAATGGGTGAGAGATTATTTGGTGTGGGAAAGTTGAAGGATCAAAGACAAACAGAGACAAGTCGCGGGCCGAATTGACGTCTTGGCGTGTCCGGGGTGCTTAGTCACTGGCGATTTGTATGAGGTGAACATCCTTTGAAGGATGTTTGATCCCTTGCTTCTAGAATTATGGTTCCACAGAATGCTTCATTTCTTGGTATTATGTCTTTGCTGCGTTGGCTTTGCATGGTGAATAAACCTGTCAACTGGAGGGGAAATGGTAACCGGCAAAGAGGTGAGAAGTTGAATGATATTGATGCCGGTGGGTAAAGGCCCAGATTAATACCATTCTTCATCACCGCCATGCCGGGATCGTATCAAGTCGTGATTGTGATTTTGGACGGCTTTCGGCCATCTCTCCAAAGCACTCCAAAGTGACTGGACTACATTGCCTCCCTGTCGCAGTGTCGAGACACAGCCCAGGTAGTCTGGCTGGGCATCGCAACATCTGAAGCCTTTTTGACCCCGGAAACGCCTTGTCCTCGCTATCGCCTTATTACAAATCTCAAATCTTGAATCGAAGCCAAAGCCATCTCACGTGGCTATGGGCGGGCTCAGAGTCCCATCCGGCAAAACACGCTGCACGGTATTGTGCTCCGCCTCCTTCCTCAGCTTCCGTTCCGCCGCCGCCTCCTTGATGCGGCGCTCCGCATCCAGCCTCGTGTTCGCGTCCACAGCCAGGAGCTTCATCTGGTACTTCACATCTCTAGTATGAATCGAGTACCATCCTTGATGAGGCTTGCAGCGCTTCTTGTCGCAAATATTCTTGTCCTCGCCGCTCAGCCGGCTGCCGACGTCGAGGTTGCCCGCCTTGTAGATCTCCTGGGCCTCGTCCGACTTAAGCCAGTTGGCAAAGGGGCCCACGACGCCCACCTGGTCGAGGCGGTAGTCGTAGCCGCATGCCGCGTCTTCGAATTGCTTGGAGGCGATGAGGGCCTTTCGCCGGTCGTTGGACCACTCGAGGATCTGGAGCATCTTTTGGCAGAGGAGGACCTCTTCGCCCAGCTTCTTTCGCTCCGCGGCTGACACTGTAAGAATCTCCTTCTCCTCCTCGGTGAGATACGCTGGTATAAGATTCTTAGTCTTAGATTCAGGGCTTTCAGCTGCATGAAGTAGTTAGTCTAATTGTGCAATCCAGTTGAGCCGTTGAACTGATTTGCGTACCTCCGTTATGCTTTGGAGCAAACGGCTTGGTTCGGACCTTCCATCTGCCATCATCCGAGTCGACACCGGCAAGCGTGCTAGCCAACAGACCCATGGCCTCCTCCTGAGTAAGTCCGTCCTGCGTACCGTTCTTGGATGAGTGCTTCTTCGGCAGGGCCGCGATGCTCTTCTCCCAAAACATGTGCGCATGCTCATCGCTGCAGAAGACGCTGCTGTTCTCCGGCCCATCATAGAGACGCGCGGCCTTTATGCAGTTCCTGTACGAGCACGTCTTCTTGAAGAGGCTGACGTTCTGGTCGCCGTCTGCGCAGTTAGGGCAGACGAAACGCTCAATGAGGTTCTCGCCAACCTCCTTGCTCATGCCGATGCACTCGCCGTGGAACCAGTCGTCGCACATGTCGCAAGAGATCATGAACCGGTGATCGTCTGGACCGCGGCAGATGCAATACGGTCCGTTGTCTGATTCTTCATCGGAACCTCCTGCCAAGTCACCTTGTAGATTAGCGGATGATGTCGTGGACGCTGCGTCAGTCTGCTTTTTGGGCTTGCTTGATTTCGATGGGCCACCCTTGGGTCTTTTCGGCACCTTCTTGACCGCAGCGGTTCCCTTCTTCTTCGGTCCCATCTTTTGAGATTCTGAGGGCTTCTCGGTGCTTTCTAGAATGGTGAAAGGAGAGAAAGCCTCTCTAGTTGGAGGTGGGAAAGAAGAATCGGGTTGTGATGACGGCGCCGTAATGAAATCCGTTTGCTCCTCTTCTGTGTTCTGAAGTGCCGTTTGAGATGTGGTGCGAACTTGGCCGGGCACGTCTGCCATCTCGAGATCCTCATCC